CTGCAACAACAATGGATTTCCCGGGATACTGTAGCCTTCATCAATGAAGATTCTTAGTTGCAAACTGCACTATGAAAATTGCTAAACCCCTCTACATGTATTTCCCGACGGAGAGAGAGTGAACTTAAATGGCATGAATGAAGAAACCCGCTGAGTAATGCCGAAACCAGTCTTATGTGATTGATTATCTAATAATAAGACTAAGTGACCTTTCGGGAAAAGCATAGTTGAACACCTCCAATATGAGTGTGAGTCGTCAGAGAGAGATATCACTCGTTTTTAGTGATCATTAACTTGTTCTGCTGCCAGAACAACCAAACACCCAAGTGAAGTGTGAGCTATACCTATGAGCGTTCATCTGAATCGACCTGTTAAACCACTTGTCGTCATTTATAATGCTATAAAATCTTAAGAAATTTCTTTAGATACATATATGGCTACCCTTTGATAACCGAACCCGAGACTTTGATTCGGAAACAAATTACTGAAAATCTTTTACATAAGATATGTTAAACCAAGTCACAAACTTTCAAATCAATTGCTATGTTTTTTATATATATCTTATCTATTGACAAATCTTTTATCTCGAATCTTCAAAAGTTAAACTGTCAATATGATTATATCATACCTGTCCTTATTTCAGCAATGATCACATAGGGGGAAATTGTTGAAAAATGTTCTTATGTAACCTTGTATGTGACCATAACTGAAATAAGATGAACTTTTTTTTTACAATCTAACAAATATTATCAGTTATTCCAGGTTGCATGAATGCGTGATAAAACGGAAAATACGAAAACACGCGAATGACGAAAACACATATGTGTGACTAAACATTTTCAACAATATATATATATATATATATATATATATATATATGTATTATATACATATGTATGTATTATATATGTATATATGTATTATATATATATATATATATATATATATATGTTGTATATGGAAAAGTCAAACAATTGGAAAAGTCAACAAAGAAGAGTCAATAAGTCAAGGAAATGAAGTTGCAAATGAATACCCCCCCACGTTTTTGCCTCCTACTCTACATCAACTTGCAGCCAACTCTCCATATACTCAAGTGCACTAGAAGATATTTGTTTCATGCATATATGTATACATGAGTTTGTGTGTGTAAGGGTGTGTGTTCATTTTTGTAATCTTGTAACACTTCCTACAAACTACAAACACTCCCAAGAACATCACAAAATCATTATCTTCTTCAAGAACAAAGAAAAATCCCTGGAGAAAATGAAGAACACCAAGATCAAACAACAATGAAGTGAAGAACACCAAGATCATCAACAAGCTAAATGAAGAACACCATCAACCATCTTTATCTTCTTCATTGAAACTCAAGGTTCTTCATCTTCACTATCCTTGTTCATCACACCATTTACCACCAAACACCTCCCTTATATTAACCTCCTTCCAATCTCAAAATAATCTCCAAACACCCTCCAAATACCCTCCTTAAACCTCCTCCAAAAACCCTTTCAAATCACCACAACCATCACCACCTTGCTGTTTTTCGACATCAGAATCTTCAAGTAAAAAACGAAGAAAACTGGGCTCGTTACAAGCACAAAAAGACTAGGGAGATTTTCACCATCAATTCTTCAGGACCTTACCTACATCTATAAATTTTCGTGGACGATTTTGACCACGGAAAACCCCAAAGAGACGCGAGAGAGAATTGGCTATCCAGAGAGATTTCTGTTTTCAAGTTCAGAATCTGCATGTTAGAAAACAGAAAACCGAGCACAACACAGCCAAAATAAGACTAGGGAGATTTTCACCACAAATTCTTTAGAACCTTACCTTCATCTAGGAATTTTCGTGGACGATTTTGACCACAGGAAACCCCAGAGAGACGCGAGAGAGAAATGGCTATCCAGAGAGATTTTCTGCAAACTGAAGGTTTTTAATCTGTGTATGCAAGGATCTGCGCGAACACGACCCGTGTTGTTTTTGCCTAAATCAACACGACCCATGTTCAGGATTTTGACCTTTAAAACCTTCTAAAAAACCTCCTACACGACCCGTGTCACTTGTGCCTTATTCTACACGACCCGTGTTCAGAAGCTTCATCAAGAAAACCCTCCAAAACCCTCCTACACGACCCGTGTCACTTGTACCTTATCTTACACGACCCGTGTGCATGTTTTTACCCAAAAATACCTCAAATACAAATACATAAACCCATGTATTTTGTACCTTTTTGTAAACACTTGTTTTACATAAAAATCGAGCTTTAAATGAACTTTTTGTTACTTATCCAATGCCGGATTGATCTTTGAACAAATATCGACCAGTCGCTCCAAGAGTCCCAATATCGACCAGTCCATTCAAAGAACAAATATCGATCAGTCGCTCCATGAGTCCAGTTCAGTCAATTTATTGACGAACCTACTTGATATATATTTATATATTTATATACTTTATTATAGCTTTATGTCATTTAAATATAGTCATTTATATTATTTATAGCTTTATGTCATTTAAATACAGTCATTTATATCATTTATAGCTTTACGTCATTTAAATACAGTCATTTATATTATTACAGCTTTCAGTCATTTACAGCTTTCATATTTATACTTATTCCGGAATTATTATTCTTTATATATATATCTATCTTATATCTTAAACTGATATATCTGTCACACAGTAACTGGTAACCGAGCCTTTTGTTGTGGTTAGGCATGAGCAAAAGAACCGAACCGGCCCGAACCGGCCCGAACCGAACCGGACCGGGGAACCGGATTCGGCAAAAATGAAGAACCGAACCGGCCCGACGGTTCTACCGGTTCCGGTTATACCGGTTCCGGTTCCGGGTCCGGTTTTTGCCGGTTTTTCGAGTATGGAACCGGCTAAATTTTGATGTACCCAACGACTAAATTACTTTGCATTTTATTGGTTTTTCGGGTCCGATTTTTGCCGTTTTTTCGAGTAATTCCAACGACTAATTTACTTTGCGTTTTATTGGTTTTTTATGAAGAAGTGGATGTTTAAATACTAGTAAATAATCAACATTTTAATAATAAACATTTTAATAAACAATTGAACATTGAAGCAAATTAAACATGGATGTCGTCAAACTTATATTATTAAGTATCCAACATTCAAACATTCAACATTCAAAATACACTTTCGACATTCAAAATATACTTCCAAGTTTCACCAACAAAAAAAAAAAGTCTAATATGTGGATTCCAACATTTCTTTGATATTTTGACTAATTCCCCGATCTCTTCCCCGTTAGCTTCAAGTTGTGTATAGCATCCACAATGTCTATATATAATTCAAAAGAAAAATGTTATTACTTACTAAAATGTAACAAATACTAATAAGAAGTTAAAAATAAGATGTAACAAGTATTAGTGTATTACCGATAGCGAGGTCATCGTCAGCTAACACATCGTGCACTTCGTCGTAGTCATATATAGGCAAGCTACTCTTTCTTAGCCAATCTTGAGTGCATATCAATGCCTCCACAATCACAACGGACAAATTAGTACGGTAGTCGGTAATTACTCGACGACCATTACTGAATGTGGATTCGGATGCTACGGTGGAAATTTGCATCCCCAAAATATCTATTAATAAACAAATTAGTGTATAATACACGACACAAATTTATAAATTAAAAATTTAAATTAGAGTAAAAGAAGGTCGATACCTCTTGCCATTCGAGCAACGATCGGGAACCGCACTGCATTATTTTTCCACCATGTGAGGATATCATATCCTTTGTCAAATCCGATTGGGTCCTCGTTTAAGTATCGTTGCAATTGACTTTCTGAGGAAGTCGAGGGGAAACTTCCCGAAGTCATATAGCTTCCAAAGAATTCGTTTTCGTCATCAAAATTAACAACTTCTTCGGGAGTTTCTTGTTGAGACGATGAGGTCATGTTTGACCTTTCCAAGTATGTCTTGAAAAACTTGTCCAATTTGCATTCAATATCAATAACCTTTGCACGTGCTTTGGATTCTATCTCATCAGCGGACATCTTTTTATCTTTGTTTTTGGCTTTAAGCATTTGGGTAAAAACAACTTTCATAAACTTTGACTTGCATTGAGGATCTAACAATGTCGCAAAGAAGACATAATCACTTATAGTATCATAGTCACCCCAATATTTGTCATATTTATGTTTCATATCCGGTACCATAAACATAAAATCCGGGTTGGTTTCATGTTTCCTAAGATGTTGCTCTATATCTAGGATCTCCCGGGTATACGTATGGAAGATAGGCTTTGTTGAACACGAAACTTTTTCAGTTTTCTTCTTAAACTTCTCAAGGAACTCCATCATCTTTTTAATCATCTCAAAATCTGAATGTGATGGTACCCTTCCCACAGTTTTCTGAAACATTGGATCTACAAAAAAAGAACAACACAATCAAATTACGTTTTATTGTTGTTAGAAAAAAAACAGATTTGACACCCTTCCTTGCGGGGCTTGTAATTCATTCAATTTTTAACCAAATCAAGCGTTTTTATTGTCTAAATTCAACTACTAATCGTAATCTACATGTAGGAAAAAGATTCAGGTCAAAACAAGTTAAATTGAATGAATTATGCATATTTGAACAACAAAATCACATGACGTTATATTGCTGTTAGAAAAAAAAATTCAGATTTGACACCCTTCCTTACGGGGCTTGTAACTCATTCAATTTTTAACCAAATCAAGTGTTTTTATAGTCTAAATTCAACTACAAATCCTAATCTACATGTAGGAAAAAGATTCAGGTCAAAACAAGTTAAATTGAATGAGTTATGCACAATTTAATATTTGGACTGATTGCTAAAGAAATAAATATTGCTAATTTTAGTGCTGAAATATATTTGATTAATTGATTTTATTTACCTTGATGGCTATATTCGAGAAATGCGTCTTTCACATCGTACGCTGATCTTAGCAATTCAAAGGTAGAGTTCCACCTTGTTGGAGTTTCACCACACAAAAACCTTTGACTTTCTACACCGCATCCTTCATGGCTTGTTTAAACGTCTTGATCCGTTGCGGGGAGGCTCTAATGTATTTCACCGCATCTTGTAGGTTTTTTACATGATAAACTTCGTGTTTTAACCCCATTTTCACAACTAGGTTTATGATATGAGCCATACACCTAATGTGAAAATGTTTGCCATTCTCGTAAATACCCGGTAGTTCTTTCACAATGATGTTGATTGCCGCGTCATTTGTCTTGGCATTATCAACGGTCATCGTCATGACATTCTTCATCCCCCACTCGTTTATGCAAATTAGCAACTCTCGGGCCATGTCTTCAGCTTTGTGAGTATCAACCTCTCTAAAGTTGACTACCCTTTTGTGCATGACAAAATCTTCGGTAATGAAGTGGGCCGTGACAACCATATAATTTATCTTTTGACACGAGGATGTCCACGTGTCGGTTGTCAAGTGGATGGCTGTTTTGGGGTTGCTCAAATGTTTGTACAACTTCTGCCTCTCCATTAAATAGAATGACACAACATCACGAGAAATTTTATGCCTTGAAGGCAATTTCACCCTACCATTGAGGGCGTTTACAAATTCTATGAATGCCTCGTTTTCAATGAATTTAAATGGTAGTTCCCCAATGGTGAAAAGCCCTAGCAAGGCAAGTTGGATCCTAGTATCATCATGTTTCCATGTGTATACATGACCCTCACCATTAGGAGCTTTCGTAAATGACAACTTTTGTTGTTTGTCATCAACTTGTTTCGGTATGTTGTCTGGATTTAACTTGCACCCATTAAAATGCTTGTTTATTGAAGTTGTACCATTCCGGTTTGGATCTGCGGCTAGTAAATGTAAACAATAATTGCATTCGGCCCACTTTCTTTCAATTCCATCGTCCTCCTTTATCCATTCGATCTCGAAGTATTTCCAAACAGGAGCGGTACAATTATCTCTACCCTCACCTCGTCTGGTTGGGTTAATCCGGTCCCTTAACTCCTTTTGAGTCTTTTTTTTGTTTTTGGGTTTTGGTTTTGTTGGGTATTTTTCTTGTGTTCGTTTTTGTGGTGGTGGTGGTTTTTTTGTTTGTGTTGGTTTTTTTGGTTGTCTTTGTTTTTGTGTGGTTGCAAATTTTCGTTTTTTTGAAGGTTGTTGTTCTTGTGGCTCCTCTTCTTGGTTTGATTCATCACTTGGTATAACATTCAATGCCGGTGTTTCTTCTATATAATCTTCTTCTGAATCTTCTCCATAATCCTATATTCACAAAATAAAACATATAATAAGTCATATTACGTTTAAATGCTGAAAAATAAATATAAAAAAATTCAGATTTGACACCCTTCCTTACGGGGCTTGTAACTCATTCAATTTTTAACCAAATCAAGCGTTTTTATAGTCTAAATTACACTAAAAATCCTAATCTACATGTAGGAAAAAGATTCATGTCAAAACAAGTTAAATTGAATGAATTATGCATATTTGAACAACAAAATCACATGACGTTATATTGCTGTTAGAAAAAAAAATTCAGATTTGACACCCTTCCTTACGGGGCTTGTAACTCATTCAATTTTTAACCAAATCAAGTGTTTTTATAGTCTAAATTCAACTACAAATCCTAATCTACATGTAGGAAAAAGATTCAGGTCAAAACAAGTTAAATTGAATGAGTTATGCACAATTTAATATTTGGACTGATTGCTAAAGAAATAAATATTGCTAATTTTAGTGCTGAAATATATTTGATTAATTGATTTTATTTACCTTGATGGCTATATTCGAGAAATGCGTCTTTCACATCGTACGCTGATCTTAACAATTCAAAGGTAGAGTTCCACCTTGTTGGAGTTTCACCACACAAAAACCTTTGACTTTCTACAACCGCATCCTTCATGGCTTGTTTAAACGTCTTGATCCGTTGCGGGGAGGCTCTAATGTATTTCACCGCATCTTGTAGGTTTTTTACATGATAAACTTCGTGTTTTAACCCCATTTTCACAACTAGGTTTATGATATGAGCCATACACCTAATGTGAAAATGTTTGCCATTCTCGTAAATACCCGGTAGTTCTTTCACAATGATGTTGATTGCCGCGTCATTTGTCTTGGCATTATCAACGGTCATCGTCATGACATTCTTCATCCCCCACTCGTTTATGCAAATTAGCAACTCTCGGGCCATGTCTTCAGCTTTGTGAGTATCAACCTCTCTAAAGTTGACTACCCTTTTGTGCATGACAAAATCTTCGGTAATGAAGTGGGCCGTGACAACCATATAATTTATCTTTTGACACGAGGATATCCACGTGTCGGTTGTCAAGTGGATGGCTGTTTTGGGGTTGCTCAAATGTTTGTACAACTTCTGCCTCTCCATTAAATAGAATGACACAACATCACGAGAAATTTTATGCCTTGAAGGCAATTTCACCCTACCATTGAGGGCGTTTACAAATTCTATGAATGCCTCGTTTTCAATGAATTTAAATGGTAGTTCCCCAATAGTGAAAAGCCCTAGCAAGGCAAGTTGGATCCTAGTATCATCATGTTTCCATGTGTATACATGACCCTCACCATTAGGAGCTTTTGTAAATGACAACTTTTGTTGTTTGTCATCAACTTGTTTCGGTATGTTGTCTGGATTTAACTTGCACCCATTAAAATGCTTGTTTATTGAAGTTGTACCATTCCGGTTTGGATCTGCGGCTAGTAAATGTAAACAATAATTGCATTCGGCCCACTTTCTTTCAATTCCATCGTCCTCCTTTATCCATTCGATCTCGAAGTATTTCCAAACAGGAGCGGTACAATTATCTCTACCCTCACCTCGTCTGGTTGGGTTAATCCGGTCCCTTAACTCCTTTTGAGTCTTTTTTTTGTTTTTGGGTTTAGGTTTTGTTGGGTATTTTTCTTGTGTTCGTTTTTGTGGTGGTGGTGGTTTTTTTGTTTGTGTTGGTTTTTTTGGTTGTCTTTGTTTTTGTGTGGTTGCAAATTTTCGTTTTTTTGAAGGTTGTTGTTCTTGTGGCTCCTCTTCTTGGTTTGATTCATCACTTGGTATAACATTCAATGCCGGTGTTTCTTCTATATAATCTTCTTCTGAATCTTCTCCATAATCCTATATTCACAAAATAAAACATATAATAAGTCATATTACGTTTAAATGCTGAAAAATAAATATAAAAAAATTCAGATTTGACACCCTTCCTTACGGGGCTTGTAACTCATTCAATTTTTAACCAAATCAAGCGTTTTTATAGTCTAAATTACACTAAAAATCCTAATCTACATGTAGGAAAAAGATTCATGTCAAAACAAGTTAAATTGAATGAGTTATGCACATTTGAACAACAAAATCACATGACGTTATATTGCTGTTAGAAAAAAAAATTCAGATTTGACACCCTTCCTTACGGGGCTTGTAACTCATTCAATTTTTAACCAAATCAAGCGTTTTTATAGTCTAAATTCAACTACAAATCCTAATCTACATGTAGGAAAAAGATTCAGGTCAAAACAAGTTAAATTGAATGAGTTATGCACATTTGAACAACAAAATCACATGACGTTATATTGCTGTTAGAAAAAAAAATTCAGATTTGACACCTTTCCTTACGGAGCTTGTAACTCATTCAATTTTTAACCAAATCAAGCGTTTTTATAGTCTAAACTCAACTACAAATCCTAATCTACATGTAGGAAAAAGATTCAGGTCAAAACAAGTTAAATTGAACGAGTTATGCACAATTTAATATTTGGACAGATTGCTAAAGAAATAAATATTGCTAATGAGCTAAATACTAATCTTACTTGGTCATCAAAGTCTTTTCCAATCCAATTAGCCGGATTACCATCTTCATTATTGGCATCATGAGCATCCGAGTTTCGGTATCTTGATGATGGTACATTTGGTAGCCCATCCAAATCCTACAATGTCAATTTTACACATTAATTATATAACAAAAGTACTATACAAATTCGTAGTTTTGACAATCTTACATAATTACATTCATACTATAAACAATAAACTAATTAAGTAGGGATAACAATGCATATATTTGGAATGGAGACAACAAAACCAAAGAAAAAAAACTTGCATGCATGCAATTATTTGGTGAATCATTGAAGCATTGAAGATTTGAAGCTAATATTGAAGTATATAATCTTAAAACATGAAAAATAAATATATGCTCTTACTTGATCTTCATGAACATCCATAGTTTGAATCATTGAAGCAATTGAAGATGAAAAATTGAAAATCAATGAATGATGATAAAGAATTGAAGATCGATTGAAACTTGGAGATGGAAACTTGTAATCATTGGAAACTTGGAGATGAAGAATTGATCAATTGAATGATGATGAAGTGATTGCCGATTGTTGAAGAGAGTAGGGTTCGATCGTTTGCTTGGAGTTGGGACTTGGGATCGTGGCCGTGACTTACAAGTAGGGATGAAAGAACGATCGTTGATCGCAATTTGGTTTTTTTTTTTTTTTTTGATGCCGTCGCCGTTTTTTTGTGGGTATCGCAATTCGCAACATGCAAGCAGCATTCGATCGTGCGTTTTTGTGTGTATAGCAAGCCGGGCCGGTTCCCGGTTTTGGGCCGGTTCCAATAGCCGGTTCTTTCCGGATCCCGGTTCCAAAAAATCACAAATTTGTAGTATAGGTCCCGGCCCGACCGGTTCCATCGGGTGCCGGTTCCGGGACCGGTTCCGGCCGGTTCCCCGGTCCTTTTGCTCATCCCTAGTTGTGGTGATCAGATTGTTATATTTTCAACAAATCAGTATCTGAGCTGATATATAAAAGGAATAATATCCAACACTTCCATCCTTTAACAAGGATAACCATTGCCCTATTTTGGAACTATCACATTATTACAATTTAGCCCCTCTAGTTTAATTAATTACACTTGATGAGAAAATTAATTCCTAATTAATTATTGACCAATATTAATTAAACAAATATGATTTCTCCTTCAATATATTATTCTTATAACATATTAATAAATTATAATAACCTCTTTCTCTATTTATTTCTCCAGTCAAGTTGCTTTGGTGAAGGCAACCCAAAACGACCATACACAACCAGGTCAAGTATTTACCAAATATGGTTATGGGCATAGACACTAATCTAACAAAACTAACTTAGGCTTTAATCCGTGCTAAGTTGTAACCTTATAAACAATCCGTAAAGGCTATATAGGATACAATGCAACAAGGGTTGCAATGTAGATTCACTTGTGTTAGGTTAGGGTTTGGACTTTGCTAGGCTTAAAATTTCGGATTCTGACAGCAGGGAACGATGCCGGTTGGGGCCCATAATATGTTTTATATGTATGGTATGTGATATTTTCGGGAACTCACTAAGCTTTGTGCTTACGATTTTCTGTTTATGTTTTTAGGTATATTTGGTTCGAAGGGGAAGAGCCCGAGATGATTGCAGTGCACACACCACCTCGTTCTACATTTTATATTACATTTTATACAAGTGTGTTCTGTTAAATTATAATAGACACTAAAGCATAAATCAAAATGAAAGATGAGTCTTGAACGAGCTCCATCTACTCTAAACCTTGCATCGGTACCTATCTATTGATGACCTGAGGATACAAGTAAATTTGAAAGCGAGTATCAGCTTTGAAGCTGGTGAGATCATAAATTATAGTGTCTTAATTTATATGTAAGAAATTGTTTGTATATGAACTGTAAGTATGAAAATGTTTTGAATGATCCTAGGAAACCCTATGTTTCCAACTAATCGTATCCTTCTACCAAGGCATCTAGTGTATGTGTGTGTGTCTCTTTTAAGAGTGTGTATTTTCCTAAATCCGACTATCATTAACCAAAAATATAGTTTCTACATTACCGTTCATCGTGTGAATGTTCACGAAGTGAATATAATGGGAAAATGAAATAGTACTATGGTGTAGTGTCAAACTACAACCGTACTAATTACCTTAAGTCTAGGGTAATCTAGTAAGTACTGCAGTATTTGTAATAAGTGACTGCCTCTGTACTCCTATTGCCTTATTTGAGGGATAAGGCATAATGTGATGGCTAGATCCCAAGCTAAACACTCCCCTGTCAAAGGTATTTTGAGACCTTTGCATGCCCATGAATGTATGCATGTCGTGAACATCCACACTACTATGATCATGTATACCCAATATAACTATCACAATTCGTTGCGATTCATCGATATAGTTAGATCCTGAACTTGTTCTATGCTATAGCACCTAGTGATGTCTGTCCTATCAAAGTATATGTAACCGCACTCATTTAAACATATATGTGTAAAAACATATCTATGTAATAGTATAGTAATGTACTGTAATGTTCTGCGTGTGCTAGCTATAATGTGTGTTCTCTCTCTATCTAGCATTTATAGTAATGTGTTGTGTGTAGTAGTTGTAATGTATGTTCTCTCTATCTAGCAAGTATTGACTTATGAATGAACTGACTCATTGTATGATATCGCGTTCTAGTAATAGTCGTAGTATCTTCTTAAACTACCCCTATGGTAGCTTACTTGTAATATAACTGGTACGTATGAACATGGGCGTATACCCTTGCTACCCAAGGGTATTGAATGAACTGGAAGAACCTTTATTACTATATACGTACACATGATATATAACTAATATTTAAACGACCCTCGGACGGTTACCCGATATCCCACCAGACCACATCTCAAGCACGAAAAGGAAATAGTGTGGATAGTCTTCCTAAGTCTTTTAAACATTCCTTATATAAATATACATATATAGGAATGCAATTTATAATATAAAAGCATAAAGTAAGTTTTGTAAAACCTTTGAACATAATTATTATCTAAGAAAAGATTGACTTGATGTCAATCTAGAAAACGGTTTAAAGGCATGGGTTTGATAAAACAGTTTAATATAAAGAAACCTTTGTTTGAAACACAATTATAAATGAGTTTGTAATGAAATATACAAAGTAAAATGTACATTGTAATAAGGAGTTTTAAACACATAAAGTGTTTATGAAAAACATTTGAAGTCACTTGTTTGGTAAAACGGCTAATAAGTAGCCTATCATTTGAATGCTGCTTACTAATCATAAGTCATTGATATGGTAACTAACATGATTCTACTTGTATCCCCCCCACCCCATAAAACATTTAAGAACAATTAAAACGTTGAGTAAGGGGTATGAACTCACCTGTTGTGGGTGATACGGATGAAGTAAAGAGGTAGGACTGCTAGGTGTCAAGTGAAGACTTTAGACACACACAATGGTCCTAATTACATACGAAGACATATGTATATAAAAAATTAGTGATTATAACACTAATTAAACATGTATAAACATCCTAATTCAAGGAAAAGACTTTTGGTCAAGTGCTAGGAGGCTAATGGGTTGCAACAAAGGAGTGCATGACCTCATATGGAAGTTTATGGTCAAATAAGCATGTATATTGGATTTTACGGCCCAGGGGAGTAAACTCCTGGCTGTAAACTCTATATTGGGTCTCTAAATGAAGCTAAAAGGTATTACAACATAAGTGGTGAAGTGCTTCTAGACTTAAACAAGTGTTTCAGCTTCCTTTAAACTCCTTTGAGGAGTTCACGGCCCTGGGACCATATCCCTTGGAGATAACGGCTGTAATCTCCCTTGGCAGGGTGTTTGTGGTGTTTTCAAGTCCATAATTTAACTAGGAACTAAACTATGCTAGTGTACAAGGCTTTGGAAGAGTTGATAGCACCATTTGGCACTATTGTTTGGAGTTCACGTCCCTGGAACTTCTTTGGCCATGAACACCTTACTCTTGATGTTGTAATGGTGTTTGCTAGTCCTAAAATCATTAGGGTACATGTCTAAATTCAAGCCTAAGCCTTAGAAAGTGTTTGTGGCATCAAAACACCCCTAATTTGAGTTGTTGGCTCATGAACCATTTGGTCATGTGTTTGCGGCCGTGAACACCGATAAGTGTTGGTATTTTGATTGTTTTGGGTCCTAGACACATCAAGGTAATGTGCTATGCTAGTCTCTTGGCTTAATGTAGGCATTTAGGGCATTTTGGCAACCTAAAATGGAGTTCACGGCCCAAAAACTTCCTTGGCCGTGAACTCACTTTCAGCCTTTGTTTCTAATTGATTTTGTGGTCTAAACATGTAATGGTGTCTTATAGTTTGAGTTATAGGCTTTGTTGGACATTGGTCACTCTTTTGGCCCTTAAAAAGGAGTTTACTCCCCAAGGTGATCTTGGGCGGTAAACTCACAGATCTTAGTGTTTGGACATGATTTTGATGTTATTAAACACAATCTAAGCTATATAATATAACTAGATAGAAGTACTCACGATTTGGGATAAAAACCCAAAGATTCGTGAGAGAGAATTCGACTTTTCTCTACTTGGAAATGCAACTAATGAATGAATATGGTTCGGATTTCTATATATAGTCCTGAGATTTTTGGCAGAAAATATTTTATTCCTGGAATGAACTCTAATATCATAGAGTATTGGAATAACAGTGTTCCACAAAACCCTAGTGTATCCACTCTCCTGATATCTCCTTAAGTGCTAACTTGAAATACTCAAACTTATACCCAAAGTCTGAAATTTTACTGTAACTGTTCTAACATCTATTGGCTTGATATGGTTTGTTTAGAATGGAAATTTCGGGTTGTCATATCATCCCCCTGTTAAAGTGAATTTCGTTCCAAAATTAGAATTTAGATAAGGAAGTAGGTATGAATTATCGAGTTGTGAGGAGGAAACTTCCTAATCGATTGGTTCTAGCGCTCCTATGTGAAATCAGGTCCTCAGTTGGTATCCCAACGAACCTTCACTAATGGGCGACGGCGTTGCTTCATCCGCTTGATCTCTTGGTCGAGGGTCACTACGGTTCTAATACGAAGGAGAGGATCTCGTTAATCTCGATCTCGTCTAGTGGAATTACGAGATTCCTAACGGAAAGGTACGGTTTCACGATCGAGATGCGAAGAGTAGAATGTACGTTACTAAGTTCGCGGAGTAGATCTAGTCTGCGAGATACAGGACCAATTCTGGTAAGAATCTCGGAGGTCCTATCTATCTTGGATTTAGCTTTCCATGCTTTACGAAGCATATTAAGCTGTTCCCAGAGTGAGACTTTCTAAAGAACTTGGTCTCTCACCTGGAATTTCCAAGGTTTCTTTTTCTTGCTCAACATCCCAATCAAGGGCCACCCCTTGCTGGGTTAAGGTCGTAAGGGTTTCTATAATTTGAGAGGAGTTCTGAATGGCCTATGATTGTAGGTCGGTAAGACCTAGAA